CGGTATGGTGATACAGAAGTCTAGATCCTTAGGACGGGAGTTAAGAACCTCATTTAATTACTGCCACAAAGCAGTAACCCAGGACTTGCGCTTTTGCTGTGTTTTGTTATGACTATACTCACTAGCCATCTTTATGTTCATACCACCAGGGTGCTTGCTTCTATACTTTTCGGGGTTTCTTTTAACCAGTTTTCTTTGTTTCTTCATTGCACTAGAGGTGTTATATATTTGGTAAAGCCATTCTCTTACTACAGCCCCTTACTATGTTTACTGCTTCTCTCACTACTTCTGGATATACTGCATACAGCCGTCCTCCCAATCAAGATCCCAATGCTGCCTTAGGGTTGTTGGTGCTACCTTGCCAATTGTGGATTCACACACACAACCTTCTGCAGTAATACCTTCTGTGACCCATGTTACACATAGTGCTCGATCTTCTCCATAGCTCAGAACTTCTTCCAAAAATTTTTTATCAGCCAAATATATACTTTACATGGTCTTACCACAACAGGTTTCTGCATTTAAAAGCCCTCACAGGTTACAGAAATAATTAATTCAATTAATTACCACTAGCTGTAATTGAACCGTCGACCTTGTCTGCAGAGGGTTAGGCATCTAGACCACTAAGCTACGGGAACATAACCCTGAATAAGATATATTGTGGAACATAAATCATGATTACTTATTATATATTTGTATATACATAGTATTTGCATTTAAGCTGGCTCGAATTTATCTGATTAAAATGTCTTGATAATCTTTACAAGAAATATTCTTCAAATAGATAAAAACTATAAACTGCTTTATGATTGTTTGTACTTAAATTATTGGGCTTATTTTTTGCTGATCATTTCTCTGCTTTGATATGCATTAAATAAAGTTTTGCTGTAAAGTATCCTTTAAAATTAACATTTTGTTTACTATAGAAATATGTATTATACTATTTATGGAAAGAGACCCGATTTATAAAGATCTGATTTTTATTTTTGTATCATTAATTTAAACACCTATTACTATCACTTTTCATGTATTAGTTTTATATTATAAACATTAAACTATTTGAATATGACTGTTTAAACAATACTTATAAAAACATTGTTTATATTTATGTGTAAGCCATGCTTATTCTTAAACTTACCCATGTGATACAATTGAAAAATTTTTGTTTCACAAGTATTACATATTATATAATATATAAATAATATTTTAAAAATTGATTTATGTTATTTGTCACACTAGGTACTTTAGTGAATAGAATATAGTATTATTATGAAAACATATAGGTTCACTTTATCTATATACTTAATATCTTAACTCCCAATTCAGTTCCTAACTAATCTAACATAAACCAGCTTAGAAACAGGTTTCATACCTCTATTGGAACCCTATTTAATTCTAGAGCTAGCAGCTTTAGATTGTTTGGCATAAAAAAAATTTTTATTTATAAAGCATTTGCTAATTTGGTTTAAGCTTAATATTAATTATTAAATAATCATTCAATTTGTGAATTTTTAGAGCAAAAATCCCAATTTTGTATATATGTATCATATGAGAGAAGATAAGATAAAACCTATTTATCTTGCTATAAATTATGCAATTATATATGTATCTAGTTCTCCAAACCTGGTCCAGACTCAGTCTGACTTTATTCACCACAGAATGCTTGACATAATTAACCATAGCTACTACAATAAAATTAGACTGGCAGATCCTCAATTTAGATTAGCTAATAGCTGAGGATCTTCAAAACCTTGGTCCACATTACAAAGTTATTTACTAATTTCTGGCTTTTAATTTTTTTATCACAAAAGTATAAATTCTTAAAAAAAAGCTCACATATGGTAAAATTGGCCCAGAAACAATTTTCACTTAATAGGCAGTTATGATTTTATTAGTAAAATTATGAGTAATTCTGGTCTAATTTTTTGATTGTCACTTTTAGCTAATCAAAATCGAGAATTTACCAGTTCAATTTTGTTGCGGCAGCTATTGCTATAAAATCCTTAATTAGCATTAGTATATAACTATTAACATAATATCTTCTATTCTAATCTAACTTTAATATAGATTTTTTAATTTAAAAGATTATACATATTGAAATTGATTTGATTCTTCAAAGAGATCTAATTGGTACATATTTATCAATATCTCAAAGCTAATAATATTATATATTTTTTTCGAACTTTGAATAAAAATATCTGCAATATCTATCTAATCCATATCACATAATAAAAATAAAAAAGTTTTCATTGATTTTAGATGTGGTACTATCGATCAAAGTTTGGAAAAACTTAACTACTAAATTTGTTTTAATAATCATCTAAATTCTTTTTTAACTTCAAACAATAATTTTTTGACAGCAAAGTTAGTAAAGTTTTTTATATTACTTCTATGAATTCATAGAATAAAAAAAAAAAAAACTTTCACTAATTCTGAATATGCAATGCATGCAGAAGCCTGCTGAGTTTATAAGAATACTTGAATAGAATTATTTGAATAGAATTAAGGTTAGGATTTGTATTTTAGCTAGAAATACAGTTGAGTTTGGGCCAGAATTAGTAAGCATAAAAATAAAATAATTAATTGTAATATAAATAAAATAATTGGTACTGTAACACATATATTATTAATAAATTTATTATAATAATTGCATATATTGTTTAAATTTAAAATTAGTGCTTCACACTCTAATATATTAGTAATTCAGTGTTGTTTACTAGAACTTTTTAGTGAGAATTATTAGAACTGGCATAATTGCTTCCAGTGACTGAATGTCACTGAAATAGAAGTTCCAGTGATGTCCAATGATTTCTGATTAGCCAATTCGAATTAATTGTTGTTTAAATAGTTATTCAAAGACTAATTTTCCCTCAACAGCACTGTAAAACTGAGATACAATATAATGATAATGGCTTTGAAGAAATAAAAATAGCTTTTATATAAGTACTAAACAATTAAAACCTGGAACTAAAATTTTTTATTGCTCAAAAGAATTGAAATCAAATTTATGTACTAGTAGCTTCAATAATATATATTATTATATAAATTATATATACATATCATATTTCTATTGACTAATTTTATTAAGATTAATAAAAAATTTTGATCTGATCATATTAGTTTGAACTAGAGATGGGTTTCATACATGCGCATGATTTCTCAATTATGCCTATTAATGCATATTCATGCGCATGATTTGGAATCATGTGTATTTTATTTCATCTAAATTTTATATAAAAAAATTAAAGTATATTTAATTTGGGCTAAGGTGTATAATTCCAAGCAAAATTAAGAAATAGGAATGCAGAAATTTTGAAAAATTATGAAAAGAAAATAAATAAACATAAAGATAAAAAGAGTCAGAAAAAAATTTTGGTAAATATCTGATATTTACTAGAGAAAAAATATAAAATTAAAAAAATTATATCATGTGATATCATGCGTATTTTATGTAATATGCACATTATTATAAAATGCATATTTTTTCTATCTCTAGTTTGAATGTTAAAAATTTTTTTTTTAAAAAAAATTCATTATATAGATTGATATATAAGAATTCATTATACTCAAAGTCAACTATATAAATAAAAATTTAAAATATAAATAGCAGAGATATGTCAGATCCAATAAAGTTTAGAAGGCCAGAAAATTATATAACTGCTACATTTGATTATAAATTTTACAGCAGTGACACTACTGTTTTTAAATTAAACACCAAAAAGCTTATTATTAAACTTCTTTTGAATTCATTATATTCTGTGTGTCTGTTCGCTCTCAAGTTTTGCTTGTGGTTTCATTTTTATTTTCACTAGTAATTGCTGTTTCTTTTGCAACAATAATTCCTACAGATTTTTTAGACGAGATACTATCCTGTTCAAAGGCACACTAAAAACATTCTAATGAGTATAATATGTATAATAAAATTTAAATAATTACTTTAGTACTTACAATATATTTTTCATTTTTTGTTTCTTTTTGTTTTCAGCATATTTAGTTCCTTTTAAAGCAGGGTTAAGAAAAATGTCACAAATAGCTAAAGTAAAAGCATAATGCATATTGGTTAGAGTAGAGACTGATATCTCAGTAAATTGCACAATTTACAATTACCAAGACCCAATATATTATATTGCCATCATGTTCAAAGAGCATATTAAAATATTCAATAACTTTTTATTTTTCTTTCATGCAACAATGTTAGTAGCTGAAGCATTATTTTTTAAAAATATCACTTTGTATCAAACACATGGAAAATTACTTTTCAACTGTTTGACAATACTGTAGCCCAGACATTTTTTATTTTTAATAATAGCTATTGATAAAATTGGAAATTTAGAAGAATTGAAATTTACATAATTATTATAAATAGCCTGACAATATACTCTAGGTATATATAATTTATATTTTTTATTAAGCAAAAGCAGCTAGTTGTAAATATATAAATAAAAATTTTACTTATATTAATATTAACAAATATATAATTATTAAAAATTAACTAATACATACCAAAATGACTATTTGGGTCATTACTTGACTCTCCTATTGCAATGGTAGCAGCTGGTTGTAAAATATATATATATAAATAAAAATTTACTTATATTAATATTAGTAAATATACAATTAATAAAAGTTAACTAATAAATACTAGAAGTAAGAGGATCATTTAATCCTTTGGTATCAAGGGCAGCTGGTTGTAAAATTAATCTATACATATCAGAAGGATTATTTGACTCTCTTGTTATAATAGTGGCAGCTAGTTGTAAAAAACATAAATAAAAATTTACTTATCAATATTAGTAAAGATACAATTATTATTATTTTCTTTTTTACAAGCGAAGGTTCACCTCTTGAGTGCTACAGGGGCGACCATCACATTAATTTGTAGATCATTGCACAATTGATAAAGGCTTTTTTTATATTGTTTTACAATACTTTTTTAGAAAGCTTGCGTAACTTACTCCCGCTATGAAACTCAAAAATGCCACTAAGTAAACTTGAAGTATTCGAAGCGCCCTATAACATATTTCTTTAATCCCCATTAATCCTATGTCCTTGTGCTGCTATTGCCTGTCAAAGTTACTATTAAAAAACATATTGCCAAAGGTATTTAAACTATTTAGTTTAACTAAATTCTACTTGTTGAA